GTCAAATGAGGGTACAACGGAACTCGAAGTCATCCCGAAGCCTTAATCCCCGTGAAGGAGGATGTCAGCTCTTCCTGAATGACCCACGAAGGAGCCAAACAAGAGTAAAATGGAACTCAAAGTCATCTTGAAGCCTTAATCCCCACGAAGGAGGATGTCAGCTCTTCCCAAATGACCCTCGAATGAGTCAAACGAGGGTACAACGGAACTCGAAATCATCCCGAAGCCTCTGAAATCATAAAAGCTCACCCCCATATGAGGAAGCTACTGGAGTCTCCCTCTTGCTATGCTGAGAAGATGAGCGGCTCCTATGAAAACATGGTCGACGCGAAGACATGGTTAACCTACAACGAAAATCAATGAATCAGGTACAATCATGAATTCGAGAACCCAAAATTAAAAGGAAAATTATGAATTTTAACCAAAATCCAACAAATAAAATGGGATTTTACGGTTGAAGTCTAATTAAACCTACAGGTCTCATGCATGCAAACAATGGGTTCAATTTGCATTTAAAGCCCTCATGATCAATTTTGGGAATGAAATACCCAAAATAACCCTCACTTTCATGGCTCAAAGTTAGTCATGAACACATACGATTTTTCGCCCTACTTTACACAAAAGCCCCCCTATAGTTTTTAACCATGGGTATGTAACCCAAGCTTCCAAAATTTGAGCCCTTTTACAAATAAGCCCCTCAACAATATTCGGCCACCTTTTGCAAATAAACCCTTCAACAATTTTTGATCTTTTTGCATGAAGCACCCCTCAAAATTTTGGCCAAATTGTCATACAATCCATGCTCCCCAAGAATTTCAGCCCTTTTGCAAAAAGACCCCTCAACAATTTCGGCCATATTCAAAACCCATCTTCAAGATTCAATCTTTTTCATAAAACCCAATTCATGAGAGCAAAAAAAGCCGTAATCTTTGCTTACAAATTCATGAATTTTTAGTTACATACCCACACTACAAGAATAAAGTTTTAATCTTTCCTACAAAATCCATGGATTCTTGACCAAAATTAGGAGAAAAAAAAGAGAGAGAGAGAAGAGTTCTTGAAGATAAGTTTACCCAAATCAAGAGCTTGGAAACCCAACTCAAAAGTCCCAAGTCTTGAGCTTGAAGATGTAATAAACCCTAGCTTTGAGAGGAGAGGATTTTCGGCCAATAAAGAGATGAAAATCTGAAATTCTTTTGGGGGGTAGAGGGATTTTAAAAGCAATAGTTTCAATGGGTTAAGAGTTCTTGTTGTTGAACTTGGGACAAGAGTTTGGGTAAGAGGATGAAGGTGGAGGAGTTTTAGGGGGGAAAGGACTTCAATTTGAATTTTAGAGCAAAAGGGGGGAAGTGAAAGTACAACAAAAGCACAAAAGAAACAAAGAGGGGGGAGGGTGTCTCGGCCCATTGATCAAGACACTCATAGTGTTTCGGCCAAGGCCGAGACACCTAGAGTGCCTCGGGCCTAGGCCGAGTCCCCCAGGTCTTTTTATGATGAATTTTCGCATGTTTTTGCCCGTTATTGGTTGCACCGATAAAAAACAACACAAGTCAACGCCGATCGATGCGAAACCCTAAGGTCAACGCCGGTCAACGCGTAGCCCTAGGTCAACGCCAGTCAGTGCGTTGTGAAGAAAGTCAACGTCGATCGATGTGAAACCATAAGGTCAACGCCGGTCAACGCGTAGCCCTAGGTCAACGTCAGTCAACGCGTTGCGATGAAAGTCAACGCCGATCGATGTAAAACCCTAATGTCAACATTAGTCAACACGTAGCCCTAGGTCAATGCCAGTCAACGCGTTATGATGAAAGTCAACGCAGATCGATGCGAAACCCTAAGGTCATCGCCGTTCAACGCGTAGCTCTGAGTCAACACCGGTCAACGCGTAGCTCTGAGTCAACGTCGGTAAACACATTATGATGGAGATAATCATTTCAAAGTTAACTCAATGACACCAGCAAAAAACAACTCACTAATTTCGATTCGAGACTTCGACAACGGCCAGACGATAAACGCAACGCCGGAAGAACTTCAGTTATTCATCAAAATATTGAATAGACTAAAAATCAAAGAAGTCAAAGATCGAAACTGACTACAGGCCCTTTCACACCGACGAAGGTTGGACCGATCACATCCAAAGTATTTTAGGCTCTTCTATAAAAGAAACAAGACTGAAACAGTTTGGAGGGGGTATCTGTAGGCATCAAAAATTACCCACGGATTCCCGCACGTAGCTCGAGACAGAGAGAAGATGATAAACATCACTATCTGAGTCACAGAAGCTTAATTGACATCGATGAGCACATAAAGTAAGTCGACGAACCGTGTGAAACAACAGAACTACAGAATAACAAAGATACGAACTGATCGGGAGCTACGCTTCACTTACGAAAGACGAAGCGCCCCTCATGTCCCCTCTACTCCTTATGTGATTCAACCATGGGAGCTTAGCAGAGACACCGCATGTGTCTTGGCCAAGGCCGAGACACTCGAGGTGTCTCGGCTCCGAGGTGTCTCGGCTATGGCTGAGACACTGCGGGTGTCCCAGGCCCCGAAAAGCCATTTTTTACGTTTTTTGAGCGGTTTTTAACCGTTAACCACCTGGATTTGTATCAACTAATCTAATATCATCCAAGAACGTGATAAAGTAATTACAACTGAGGATAAGAATGAATCGGTGGTTCTTATCCAAAAACAGAGGTCCGGAAGCCTATTAATACACCCCTAGGGCCTTCATTTTGCGGAGATATGGAATTCTCGAGCCTTGGCGAAGCCCTGCTGAATCAAAGACTAAAGAGCACGAATTTCAGAGAGGAGGAGGAGAGTGGATCGAGCTCTTCAACATAAGCAAGAAGAGTTCGTCAGATCCACAGCCCGGTTCCTTCCCTTGAGATCGTACCTAGCTACGATCTTGAGAAGAGTGATTATCTCGCTGTTGCCGAGATAATTACTTCGGTTTCTTGATTCATTTGCGAATCAATGAAACTCCAGATTGATCTGATCACTTGGTAGTCCACAGATATTAACGTCCCTGGCACCGGCTAAGATCCCACGCAAACAATAGGAGATATACTATTATTGTGTGTAGTTTGAAAGAGAGTTGTGATTTATTTTCATTATGATAAAAGTATTATAAAAAGACTATTTTTTTGAATTTATTGTAACACTCAAAGTTGTAATGGATTCATCAATGAAATCAACTTTCCATCCAAACACTCCCTTTACCTTTTTTATCGGATCTGCTTAGAAAATTGTCTCGTTTTTGGGTATTGTTGGATAAAAATGTCCTTAAAGCTTGCTGCTGTGAAATTTTTGAATAAAAATGTCTCGTTTTTGGGTATTGTTTTGTTTGGCCATTAATTGTTTGGTTGAATGTGCATATGAGGTTGACTATAATACCATTTGTAAGAGACCCAAGATACTTATACCTTAAAAGCTGCTGTTAGAGTGAGAAAACCCAGAATTTTATAAGCGGATAATTGTCAAATTTAGGGTGAAAATATCTTATCAGATCTAGGATAGATGGAATTCAAATTTAGGCTGATCTTACTTCTAGGATAGAAGTTCACTTTCAAAGCACCCAAGATAATATGTTATCAGCTTATTGCTCAATGTATTTTAATGTTAGAGCTTTTGATTTGTTTATTTGAATATCTGTTCGTTGCTTGCTGCATCTATCATAGATTCAATTCAAATTAATTAAATAATTGTTAGCTGTGAATTTATGTCATTTGAGTTCTAGTTTATACCATGTTAGTTCTAGTTTATGCCATGTTAGTTTTAATTTACACCATGTTACTTCTAATTTCTGTCATGTAAATTGCTACTTCTTTGAATGTTTTAGGGCTACGAGAGGACAATGAAAGTTGAAACAGATGATGTGCTACCCATTAGACTAAGTGAAAAAATTATACCTGAAATTTTATGGATGTTGATGGTGAATTGCATACAGCTCTTGTAGGCCCGAATGAGATGACTTTCATAGGAGAGGCGCCATACGAGGGAAAAGAATTTATTACATTGGAGGAGGCATACAACTATTACAATTCTTATGCAAAAAAAAAGGTTTTGGAATCCGCAAGGAAACAGCCGATAAGTCAAGAAAGTCAAGAGAAATTATTTCTTAGGTTTTTGTTTACAACAAGGCATGGAGAAAAAGGTCATCAGATAAGAGAGAGTGTGGGAAACTTTTCAATCGCCATCCAGATACTAGAGTGGATTGTCCCGTAAGAATAAAGATTAAGTTGACTTCCTCCAAGACATGGATTGTCACGAAGTTTGAGGGAGAGCACCCAACCCATCTATTATCGAGCCCTGATAAAGTGTTTAATCATTATTCCCACATGCAAAGGCATCGTTTGAGGGAGAGAACCTAACCCATCTATTATCGAGTCCAGATACTAGAGTGGATTATCCCGCAAGAATGGCTCCTTCTACTATTACTCGAGTGTATAATGTTCTGTCCAAGAGTCTTCATGAAGAATATATTACTGTACAACAATGTATTGATCACAGTAGAACTATTAGGAAGAACAATATTGGCAATTAATGCATATCCATCATAAAGAATTTTCAAGATAGGAAGGAAATCGATCTAGAATTTTACTTTTCCATAGAGCTGGCTCAGTCGGGGACTATGAGGAGCGTGTTTTGGGCTGATGGGAGATCAAAATCTTCTTACTTAAGTTTTGGAGATGTAGTGGTGTTTGACGTCACATATAAAACCAATCATTTGAGCCTACCATTTGCTCCATTCACAGGTGTAAATCATCATCGGTAGTCCATTCTCTTTGGGTGCGTTACTTGCAGATGAGCAAGAGGATACATTTATTTGGTTGTTCACCCAATGGCTAAAATGCATGCATGGGGTTGCACCAAAAGTAATTATCACCGATCAAGATGCACAAATAGGAGGAGCTATCAAACATGTTTTTCCTAATACCCGACACCGTTTTTTTTCTTGGCATATTGGCAGACATATTGCCGAGCAGCAACTTCCAATGAAAGCAAAATATGAAGATAAGATTTCTACATATTTTGATAAGTGGTACCGAGCTAGAACTATTCATAATTGTGAGGAACGTTGGAAGATTTTGAAGGAGAAATTTAATATAAATGAGAATGTAGATAGTTGGCTGACGAGAATGTATAGATTGCATGCACACTGGGTAGATGCATATTTGAAAGATATATTTTGGGTAGGAATGACAACTAGTCAGAGGAGTGAAAGTATCAATGCTTTTTTTGATGGTTATGTAAATACAAAGACTAGGCTTGTGGACTTTGTATGCCAATATGACAAAGCCTTAGCAAATCGTCGTGCATCTGAATCTCAAGAAGACTTTATGACATTGAATATCGTGCCTACAATGTGCCTTCGACATCCAATTGAAGTGCAAGTTAGCAAGTTATATACTAGGGAGATCTTCAAAATATTCCAAGACGAGCTTACTAATGGGTTATCACTTTTTCATGAAGAAATGCTAAAGGAAGAGCCAAAAACAATTTATCTAGTTGGTGATTTTTCTGAAGAAAGAGAGAAATGGGAAGAAGTTACATATGACAAATCTAGAGAGCTTACGGTCAAATGTTCTTGTGCACTTTTTGAAACTGATGGGATCCTTTGTAGTCATATATTGCATATCATATGGCTTCTTCAGTTGACAGCTATTCCTGATAATTATATATTGCAAAGGTGGAAAATTGATGCAAGGCACAAAAACATTAGATTTTTTAATGTTATGGATGTAAGAAGCAATGAAGGTAGCATGGATCAGTGCGATATTATTAGATTGTGGACAATTCGAGCCAGGTTCAATGCTACCCTTGAGATGGCTTCATGTTTAGCAAATGTCATTTCTATGGTGGAGAGAATGCTACAAGATATCACATTATCAGTTGAGAAGGAAGTAAAGCTTAATGAGATTCATATTACAAACTCTCAAAGTGGAAGTCAAATTAGTTCAAATGCAAATGTAGTATTGAGAGATGGTGAAGAAATTTTAATTCGTGATCCTAGTGTCCCAATCAAAACAAAGGGTCGTCTAAGAGGTGCTAGCAGGTACAAGTCAGGAATTGAAGAGTCACAATCGAAAAAGGATATAAAACATCGAAAATGTGGGAATTGTTAACAATTGGGTCACTATAAGACCGGTTGCCCGATGTTGGTAAGTTACTTGAGAATTCATCTTGTAATATTTATTTGTCGTTCAATTGAATTCTTTTTTGTGCACAACTCATGAATGTTTTCCATGAATAGAAAAAGTAACAGCATGTAGCGTGTTCGAAGAACTTTGAAGAATGTTAGAGCATGTCAGAGCATTTTGGAGCATGTCAGAGCATTTTGGAATTTTGGAGCATGTCAGAACATGTTTTAAAGCTCATAAGTCTTTTGTTATAGAACTTTGTACTTTAGATCTTTTTGTAAGAGTAAGGGATGCCTCACTCTAGATCAGTAGATCTGATCGCTCTCACAATGAGAGGTGAAACCATGTAACTTATTTCCTTTAATGATATCTATTTTAGTTCTAGCTGAGTTATTGTTAGTTCTACTTGCTGCCTTGTTATTTCTAATTGTTCCCGTGTTAGTTCTAGCTCTAGCTAGCACAGGTTCTAGTGTAAGTGTTGGTGCTAGTGGCTATGTTAGTTCTAGCGTAGTTATTGTTAGTTCTAGCTTAGTTATTGTTAGTTCTAGCTGTTGTGGAGTTAGTTCTAGCTATTCTTGTATTAGTTCTAACTCTATCTAGCGTTAGTTCTAGTGTAAGTATTGGTTCTAGTGGCTATATTAGTTCTACCTGAGTTATTGTTAGTTCTAGCTGTTGCCTTGTTATTTCTAGCTATTCTCATGTTAGTTCTAACTCCATCTAGCGTTAGTTCTAGTGTAAGTGTTGGTTCTAGTGGCCATGTTAGTTCTAACTTAGTTATTGTTAGTTCTAGCTGTTGTGGTGTTGGTTCTAGATGTACTCGTGTTAGTTCTAACTCCATTTAGCGTTAGTTCTAGTGTAAGTGTTGATTCTAATACCTATGTTAGTTATAGCTGAGTTATTATTAGTTCTAGCTGCTGCTTTGTTATTTCGAGCTATTCTCGTGTTAGTTCTAACTCCATCTAGCGTTAGTTCTAGTGTAATTCTATGGTTCTAGTGGCCATGTTAGTTCTAGCTTAGTTCTTGTAAGTTCTAGTGGCTATGTTACCTCCAACACATGTATATAATTTACAACCTGCTCATAATATTTGAGTCTTTCACTAATAACAAATTGAGGCCTGACTCATAAAGATTTGTTCTTTGATTCGTTTTTTTACTGAAAAGAACAAAACACGAAAGGTAAGAGGCTGGGGATTTACATCCAATCCAACAAAGCTTACGCATTAGAAATAACATTGAATCAATTAGAACTAACGTAGCATCTAGAACCCACACTTTCCATAGAAATAACGCGGGATGGAGGTAGAACATAAACAAGATTGGCTAGAACTAGCTGTATATAAGCTAGAACTAACATTGAATTAATTAAAACTAGTGTAGCATCTAGAACCAACACTTACCATAGAAATAACGTGGGCTGGAGGTAGAACTAACACGAGATTGGCTAGAACTGGCTGTATATAAGTTAGAACTAACATTGAATCAATTAGAACTAACGTAGCATCTAGAACCAACACTTGCCATAGAAATAACGCGGGCTGGATGTAGAACTAACACGAGATTGTCTAGAACTAGCTGTATATAAGCTAGAACTAACATTGAATCAATTAAAACTAACGTAACATCTAGAACCAACACTTGTGATAGAAATAATACGGGCTGTACTATAGAGCTAACTCGAGTGCATCTAGAACTAACATGGGAGCAGCTTGAACTAACACAACTGTGAGTAGAACATACATAGCAATTAGATCCAACACATATACTAGAACTAACTCGAGTGCAGCTAGAACTGATACGAGAGCAACTAGAACTAACATATCATCAAGTAGAACTAACATCCAAATATAACTAACAAAGATGTATATAAACATTGTTGGCCTTTTTGTTTTGATGATGTTTTAACAAATAATTTATAACTAATATTGTTTGTCTAGTGTTTGTGTTTTTATATTTATTCTAGGCAAACAATGAGTCGGAGGGTGGATGGAATCGAGCATTCACGATCATAACCATTGGAGGATAGAAGGAACACCGGAATGAAGCCAATACAATTCAAGTCCAATTCAAGATCAAGCTTCATCCGCATCTAAGACAAGCTCATAGAAGATTTATCAAGCTTGGGAATTATTAGTTTAGGTTTTATACTTGTGTGTAGATACTTTAAAGCTCAATATCATATACACACATACATTTTATGAGTTTATCTGTTTTGGGTTTTATTGACAAACAAAGTTTTTACAAATAAATAAATTTATGTTTATATACATATATGTTTGTTTTCATGTGGATAAGTTATTTTAGTTTAGTTATATAGATATGAAACAAATATACATTCATATACATAATCATATATTTCATATTCTATTGTATTTTGATAATATTGAGTTATTGGTTAATGGACTTAACAATCATTATATACATATTTTATTAAGTCTATAAAATTATTTTACAAACTTTCAAAACCTGGTTTATGTCAAAACATCAAATTTCATGTCTATCAACTTTTCATGTTTTGTATATTTTTGCAAAATGATGAGTTTTCACTTTTGGGAAGTGCAATTCCAAAAATTCTTTTTGTAACATGTTTATTATCATGTTTACAATCATTCCCCAAAGTTTTATATTTTTTCAAATTTATTTACTATTTTTAAAGGTACTTCAAAAATTAGATTTACTGTTTTAATCAGCCTGATAACTTGTTATCAATCGACTGATGGAGTTTATCAGTCGACTGATGAACTCGCTTAGAATTACCAAAAAAATTTTTTGCGACCGATGAACTATCAGTCCTCAGTCAACTGATGAGCTGAGAGCTGTCTAAAATGGTCATTTCATCAGTCGACTGATGGCCTGTAACGGCTATATTTCCAGTTTTCATTATTTTGTCTTTTTGTTTGGTTTTTCTTGGTTTTTGGGGTTTGTATTGTGATCCTATATATATCCAGTGCCCTCTAACTTCTGAACTAACCAATAGAATGTTTTAAACAAGTTTAAGAGAGTTTTTACAATGGTTTAAAAGTTTGTTTAAGTTTGTTTAAGAAGCTTTTCAGCATTTTCAAGTTTCGATTTGTGAAGAGAATTTCACAAGAGCTAGAGGAGATCATCTTTGCTGTTTGAGCTTCAACTCTTCTCTCTCTCTTCCTCTTGTTATCTATAGAGAAGTTTTTCTAAAATCTATTTCTAGCTTCATTTATATACTTGTTTGATTATCATTGTCATTAAGCTAGATTTATATTGAGTTTAGTTTATTTTATTTAATCTCTTTGTTACACACACCCACTTGAGCTAATTGTATTTGCATACATAGTATAATTTAGGGTTGTGAGAGTTTGTAACATTGAGTTGAGTTTAATTGAGTTCTCACCTTGTTTATAGAACAATCATTTGATTTGTGAGCTTCATTGTGAGGTTACACTTTGTAATACACTTGTACACCCAGAGGAGTGTGTGGTGAGAGACAGAGTTGTCCCAAGAGGAGTGGCGTCGGTAGTAAAGCCTAGGGAGAGGTTATAAATCCGAGCACTTGAGGGAGACACGGGCTAGAGACCAACACTTAGAGGGTGTAGAGTGCGATTACAAGAGTGTGGATTGTAAAGTTTTTGGTGAGCTAGAAAACCGAGTGTGAGGTGTAAACGTTTTGGGTGAATGTCGAAAACCCGTCGTGATAGTGGATTCTCCCCGAGAGTGGGGAGCGGAGACGTAGGTCGGAAGGACCGAACTCCTTGATCATATTATTGTGTTTGAATTGCTCATTGTGTCCACTATTTGTTTATATCGTTTCTTGTTTATTTTCCCTTTGCATATATATCCTTGATTTAATTCAATTGAATATCTATCTTGCTAGGTTATATTTGTTAATATTTTTAATTAGCATTAATATGGAATTAGCATTCACCCTATTCACCTCTTCCCTAGGGTGTTTTTAATTGATAACAGAGCTTGGTGCTTTTTAATTTAAGGTTTAATCACCTTGAGTTAACGGTCCAAGCTTTAATATTGTTGCTAATCTTGTTTTGATATTATATATTTTGCTTGCACATATATTATTGTAAAACCCTGAAAATTTGGATATTATGTGATAAATAATAATAAATATGTTATATATGATAAATAACATATTTTGATATTTGAGTATACTAGGAATTGACTTGAGATCAATTCAATATATATGTGTGAATATATGAGTGCAAATGCACGAAGAAGAAATCTGGAAAAATAACTAGTTAAGAGTTTATATATTTTTCACACTGATACAGTTAGAATTTGGGAAAACTCAAAAGACAAAATTTGTAGGTATCTTCAACAAATTTCCAACAAATTTTAATTCACCTTATTCCGAGGTCAGATGTAAAAGTTACAGCCAAAATACTAAATATAATATTCAGAAATTTTTAGTAGTCGACTACTGCTCAGAGTAGTCGACTATCGGGAATTTACCTGTGCTGACAGGTTGCAGATTTCGGGTCGACTTTATTTTTCTTCGAGCCTAATTGATAACCTAACTATATAAATGTGTTTTAAACCTAATTTCTAAGATTTTTCATGAAAGAACAAAGTCGTCATCTCCCCTTAAACCCTAGAGCTTGTTCTCGGTGTTCCTTGAGAAGATTCGAGGCAAATCGTTGAGCGGAGGGCGAGATCATATACGTTTGGTAGAGGAGGGATCTTGCACGCATATCCAGAGGCTCGACACAATGTTTCAGGCAAGATCACTTGCATCCAAACCTGCACCCTTAGTTAATGAATGATTTAAAGTGTTTAAATTGATGTTTTGCATGCTTATTTATAACCCGATGTGCTAAAAATGAAGTTTTTGATGGTAGATCTTAATAAAATGCTAGATCTAATGTTTATCTTGCTGTTTGTAACTTGATTTATATGTGTTAATCATGCTTAAAACCCTAAACTTGTGATATAAAGGGCTTACATGTTAATCAAGCATGATAAAACCCTAGGTTTGGAATTTTATTGTTCTATAAATGTGA